CAGAGCCTACTAGCTAGCGCTTAAATCCTCACTTTCTTTCTTGACCTCCATGTCCCGTCTCTGAATTTTTTCTGCCGTGAGACAAGAACCTACTCTCCTTTAACAACTACAGCGATAAGTAAAATCCATCCAAGTAACTTGCATATATTGAACTATTAAAAAATCCATCTTATTAAAAGTTGTGCTTCCAAAGCATTTCACTTTTTGTCTAAGAATTGATAGTAATATTGTGCAATACATATACTTTTATTAATAATTCAGAAAATATTTAACACGAGAAAAAAATTGTCAACTAATTTTGTTATGGAAATGCATGCTAGGGTGAACGACAAGACTTAAAGCATAAAACTACTTTACATTAGAATCAAATTCAGTGATGCACATAGAACTAAAATATTTTAGATTAGGATAAAAACCCTGTGAGGGACATAAAGATATAGGTTCAAGGAAAATACCCAAAAAGATGTAAAATTCCTGACTTTATAAGGTGGATAATAGTAACAAATCGTCACGTATAATAGTTGATAATAGTATCAAATCGTCACGTATTTAGAGTCCTTTGGATGCGTCTTAAAGAATGAGAAGCTGTTTGGTTTTTTTTGTTTTGTTTTGTTTTAATGTCAGTATTCACAATGTGCCCTCAAGATGTCTTCTGCAATTGCTTAAACTTAGATAAAAGATATTTAGATGTTACTTTAAAGAAAGGATCGCTTTTCAGTCATTTCAAGCTGGGGTTTCAGAAGCCGACACCGGAGGTCACTGCCCCGCTGCCGCAGCTGCAGAGTTGGGGTCAGGTCTGGTCCCTGAGCTGCCCGTCCGGGAGCGCTACGCTTCGCTCTGAGGGCAAGAGCTCTCCAGCCGCCGCGCCAGCCCCTGTTAAGACCCTCAGGGGCCCCAGTCCCCGCCCTCTCCTCTGCCCTCATTCCTCCCTCCCGGGGTCGCCCACGCAGCCTCACTTTGTAACAAGCTACGTTCAAATACAGAGGTCATCAGGTGTTTATTCTACCGAGCCACTTATTTGCTTTATTGTCTGCCCCACCCCAGAACGTAAAGTCCTTGAAAACTGGAACTTCGTCAGTTCGCCCACTGCTCGCGCCACAACTAGCACTGAACTTATCTTAATAGTAAAGGAACAATACGTCCTCTGCGCCCACGCAGTCGCGGAGCGCCTCGGGTCACGTGCCCGAAACGGGAACTATCATCGAGTCAGTCCTCCAACCTCCCAGAGAGGACTCGGAAGTGCCCCAGAGCCGGCGTGAGTTATTCCGGCCGGGCCGTCAGCGCTTTTGTCCCGCCGGCGGCCGGGCTCCCACGGTGCCCCCACAGCCAGTACGTGAGTCCGAGGCCGCCCGGGCTCCCGCCCCCGGCCCTAGCCTGCCACGCCCTTCCCTTCTTGGCAGGGTGCTAGCTACCCCTCGGGTCTCGGGCGGGATCCGGGAGGAAGCGCGCCCCCTCCCCACACATACATCAGGAAGCGCGTTCGGGGAAGTGGAGGGGAGGGAAGATTTCGGGCCGGCCGAGGGGTTTAGGGCGCGCCCCTGGAATATAACGGGCTTCCTGCATGCCCCACCTCCGGGCGGGTCCGAGGGGGTCAGGGCCGGGTTGGGGCTACCCGGTGCGTGCAGAAGGGCTGGGGCCCCGCACCCGTGTTTTTCAACTCTTCGCTGCTGTTTCGGGCGGGAAGGGAACCCTGAAAATTAGTGCTTTAAAATAAGCCCCCGTGGCAGTTCAGTTTGGCCTTGGGATTTGAGAGTGAATACAAGCGTTGGAGGGACCGCCCACACCTTTATTTTTCTTTGATGGGGCAGTGATGTTGAGAGACTCTTACCGCAGGTGTGGATCGAGCCGCTGGGAGGCGCTTCTCGGCCTTCGCCCTAGGGGAGCTCACTTGTTTTACAGACAGGGGATCAAGCTGCCTGTAGCTGCTTCTCACAGATGAGAAGGAATTGACTAGGTCCCAGGGAGAAGAAGGTCGAGGAGGCTCCGAGACCTGGGGACAGCCTGTGGGAGCCCAGGCGTGGGCATGTGAATTAGGAATGGGGAATGCCGGGGCTGGGTGTGCTGCTCTAAGACTTTTGGACTAGGAGGCCACCAGGAGTGTTTTCTTTTTGAAAACACGAGGATTTTTTCTTAAATAAGTTTTTGACTATGTAATGTATTCATATGGTTCAGATATTAAAAATATGAAAAGATGTCAGCGAAAAGGTTTTCTTCTGCCCAGCCTTCTGCCTAGGCCCAACCCCAGTAGATAACCAACCACATTTGTTAGGTTATTTGAGTGTATCTTCCCAGAGTTTCTTTATGCAAACACTGGCAGATCTGAATGTAGTTAGTTCCTCCTTTTTTTACACAGGTGGTAAGGTACTGTTCAGATTTCTGCCCCTTACTTCTTTTGGTAAATCTACGTTAGAGGTCATCAGAACACAAAGAGCTTTTTTTTTTTTTTTAATACATTGCTGTGGTATTGGACTGGACATTGTTTGGATGTTTTGGATGTCCTGTAATTTTTTAGATCTATTCAGGCCATTTGCGTTGTTTCCAGTTTCTTTGTTACATCAAACAATGGCTCATCCAGGGACATTGCACCAGGGCTTCTCTGAGCAAGGGTTTTTAAAGAAGGGATTAACAATGATAAAAAAATTTTGTTTTACATTAACTCTGCCAGTTATTGGTAGATTGTTAAATATGTCAATACATTATTATAATAAGTCGTGTAGAGTGTTTAAGGAACAAATTAAACCAAGTAACTTTTCTCTCCAGGGACTTGTGTTTATGATACTTAGCCTTACAGTAGCCTAATCAACCATCTATTAATGACTGTCTTCAAGACAGTCTTTGCCCCTTTAGCTTCAGAAAATCTCCTTTGTTTACCTTATTCCTTAGGATGACTAGAAATCTCTTCTCCCCTACCAAGTTTGAGAGTGCTCTATTTCATTTTTTACTTTAAGGAAAAATCACCTTTAATCATAAGGACTAAGCAGTAGAACCAACTTATGTTAACCAATTACAATTCTGATACTCGTAAACTTAATGCAATAACTAAATCACAAATCATACTCTCTCTCTTTCCATCTGCGTATCACTTTTCTCACTCCTTAGTCTCATCTTTCATTTATCCCATCCTCCCACTTCTGTCTTCTGAGTTGGTAAGCATTTTGCCCTCACATTCCCTCTTATTTTCTCTTTTTCTTCCTCTGGTCACCTCTAAGTCCAGTATAATATCCAGGAACTTAAGACACATAATTCAGATGGTAGATTGATTTGTGGAATATGGTTGGTACTCTGAAAATCCACGGTAGCTGCAGGTGTTGCACCTGTTGCTTATTGAAGTCTGTTGTTAAGGGAGGAATTTTCAACCAGAGTGAGCCTCAGTTCCTCTCTTGTGAGTTGTCTACTCTATTGAGAAGTGGCTCCTGACTCTCCTGGGCAGGGATAGTAAGAGTTACGGACAGATTCTTACTATCTGCATGTTCTTTTCTAGGCATTGGTGGTAGAATATGAACAGCATGAAGCACACATTTGCCGGGAGCTGTGGGTCATGTGTAATTTGGAAGGAGTGGATGGCTTTCTGTGGCTGAAACTTTTAACTGATGTAACTAGGTTATTGGGATGTAACCAGTTCTCTCTCTGTTGAAAACTGATTAGAGAGGAGTTCCCCATCATCAGCTTTGAGAACTTTTAAGAAATTAAACCTGTCTGTCCCTCTCTCTATGCAGGAGTTGTGCTTTTGGAGCGATTCCTTTCTTGTGTCAAAAGGGACACATGAGCTAGCCACCACATCAGTCTTGATTGGATTATAATAACCTCCTTCTAGACTGCAGGACTCAGTTCTACCCCCCGCCCCCAATCCATTCTCCCATTGCAACTAGTATGAGTGATCTGTATTTCTTTTAATTTTATATTATGAAAAAATGTAAACATAACTGGAAAGTAGAATAGTACAGTGAACTCCATACATCCATCACTCAGATTCAACAGTTATTAGGATTTGGCTACATTTGTTTCCCTTTTCCCTTTTTCATTTTTCTTTGTTGAAGTATTTTAAAGGAAATTCCAGGCATCACGCCATTTTATCCTAGCATACTTTAGTCTTAAAAAAAAAAAAAAAAGATAATGGCCCCAATGCCATTATCTCACACCATCCTAAATTAATTCCGATTCCTTGATCTTATCTAACAGGAACTGGTAGACTTCTGGATCTGTGGTCTGTTTTTGTATGGCCTGCAAGCTGAGAATGGTTTTTACATTTTTAAAGGGATGTTAAAAAGCAAAGCAAAGAGAAAAAAAGGAAAAGAAAAACAAGTAATAGAGTTGTATGTGGCCAACAAAACCTAAAATGTTTTCTGTCTGGCCCTTTACTAACTCCTGATTTGATCGAATAAGTGATCTTTCAAAATGCATATCCGAGTTTGCCCCTCTTTGCCTAAAACCCCTCGGGATCAAGTCTGGACTCCTTAGTATGATGGGCAGAGCCTGGTGCAGCCCTTCTTTTTGCCCACTTATCCAGCTGTGCCTGCCATCTTCTGTTCCAGATGTCCAGAGGGTGGTGGACACCAGCCCCTTTGTACCTGCTCTTCCCTCTGTTAGAACTATTCCTCTCTTCTTGAAGCTCTTCCTAGCTCTTTGAAGCAGAGTCTATCCCTACCCCTTCTTCCCTTATCCATGACTAGTGTCTGCCATTTTTATCGTGTTGGTTGTTTTCCTGCCAGACTCTCATACTAGTTTGCAAGCCCTTATTGGCCAGGACTTGTTTTATCCATCTCTGTGTCCCTAGGACTAGCCCAGTGGCTGCAGAGAAAAGTAGGATTTGGATCATTATATAAGTTTGCTGGGCAACACTCAGTCGCAGAGATAACTGAGATACTAGAATGTATCTTCAGTACTGTTTGTAAGGATAACTTAATATTTTGTTATTCTCTTGACTGTCTTTACAATTTAGCAGCTGTCTTAGTCCTTGTGGGCTGCTATAACAAAATACCACAGACTAAGTGGCTTATAGACAACAAATTTATTTTACATAGTTCTGGATGCTGGGAAGTCCAAGACCAAGGCCCCAAGGGGTCTCTGTGGTATCTCTTTTCTAAGAACACTAATCCCATTCATGAAGGCTCCACTCTCATAACCTAAGTATCTCCCACAGACTTCCCACTTCTAATACCATCATTATGTTTTAGTGCTTTTCTGCCTGTGTCTTTGACTGAACTTTTCTTAGTCTTAGTATTGATTAATATGAATTTCATTGCAAACCATCTGTTTTCAATGAAGCTACACATTTATATTGCTCTGTTTTGATTTGTCATTAAGGGGATTGGATGAACTACAATCAGATGATGGGAAACTCTGCTCCCATCCAAACAGAGGAGGTTAAGCAGGGCTAGGGAGACTCCTGGAGTCTGCCTAGGTTAGAGAGGTAACCAGTGAAGTATTTGTGATTTCATGTAGACCCGGCCAGTCAGCAGCCAATCAAACAAGGAATCCGAGAGGACATGAAGGGAACTGAGAATGAGCCTGGCAGAGAGAGGGGAAAGGGTCCATCTGGGTCAAGCATTAGTAAGTGTGGTGTCAGCAAGGGGTGAATTAGCATGGCCCCTTTGGAGTTTAGCAAGTCATTCCAGCTGGCCAGATGCAGAAGGCGTCAAGCACACTAGGTAGCCTGGGAACACCCACTGGGGAGTGTTCACGTGTGCATTTTACAAAATTCTTGACAGTTATTGGAAGAGAATTGGAAAGGGATAAGAACGAAGGTAGGGAGACTATGGCAGGAGTTCAGAAGGGAATTTAGGAGGGCTTAAACTAAGGCCCTAGCAGTGGAAATGGAGTGAGGGTTGGCGACATGAGAACTGTGTAGGCAGTGGAATCAGCTGGTCTTAAGCGGTCTTTTGGATGTGGAGTGGTGAGGGGAAGAGAAGTGCCCGAGACA